GACAATAATGGATTTTTTGTAAAAAAGTGTTGTCATTATCATCGCAAGTATATACTGTATATAATATGTATTTTTATACATATTGTAAGCTGTACACATATACATTAGTCAGCCATTTTCTACAATAGATAAGTAGTATTAACCAGTATTGTACTGGTAATTCTAGAGCTAATACATGCCTTGAAGATGGATGGATAAATAATCTCTTTTAATTTAAAATTTCTTAATATATATTTAGAAAGATGTATAATTTTTGCTGATGTACTTGCCAAAAAAGAATATTTGTCAGAAGTGGGATTTGAACCCACGCCCGCATTCGCGGACCAGAACGCCCAGAACAACTCGAACATTTTGAGTTGTAAGTATTTAGTTACTTGAGTCTGGCGCCTTAGACCACTCGGCCATCCTGACACTTCTTTTGTTTTAATCTGATTATTAGTATTCTACATGATAATTTTTAAATAGTAATATCGTTGGAGTAATAGATTAGTTTTTCTATTGAGTTTTTCTATACGTTTATTCTAATTAGGTATAAAATTTATTGTTCGTCACTAAATTGGAAAGTCGATTTTGGTGTAGAGTGTATTGGTAAATTTTATTGAAAAGTGAAGTTAAGAATTTTGATAGATCTTTAAAGGTTACAGGTATTTTTTTGTAAGTGGTTTTAGTGAAATATTATAATTAAGCATGTTTTCTTCGAAAGAGAGAAAACGTTTCGAATTTCTGTTATCCCATTACAAAGCTATTAGAGTTAAAAGGGAATAAAAACTAATTTTAGAAATATATAGGAATGTTGCCTTTGATATATGTCATAAGAAGGAAAGTCAATGTCTAGGCGGTCACTCAGTACTATATGTATTTTATAGTTTTAAATCGTAACAAGACTTTGTCGGTGATGGTCTTGTGGCCTGTTTATAATTGAATATGAAATCGCACATTACGCTCTATCATTGATCGTTATTTATGTTTCAGGATGAGAAGAAAATATATTATTTTTCTTGCTATTTTATTAGAAAAGTCAACTGACAAACAAGTGTCGCCTCCTAATGGAAAATCGCTATTAACCTAGGCAGTTTAAATCAAGAAGGAATAGGTGAACTAGGAGATTCCCAACTTTAGGAAATAGTTCAATAGGCCACACTATAATATTGACAGAGACCGTTTGGAAAAGAGAATGGAGGTTTCTGGATCCGGAAAAGATTGCGTTCATGAAGAGGAGAAATCTTCTGATAGCGAAGGCTTAATTACTTTTAAGGAGTTGGATCATTCGGATATTCGAAATAATGCTGACAGAGATGAAGGTAATGAAATTCTATGTGAACAGTCAATAAATGAAATAAAAGATTACTTGGTAAGAATTTTGAAATCAGAAATAAGTAAAGGATTTTATTTGATGGCATAATTTCTTTCTTCTTCAGATTTTCAGTATTTTGTCTATGTTGTTTTGCCAATCTTGCTGTGGTTTTGCAGCAATCGTTACGAGTTTATCTTGTAGAAATGCGAAGAAGGCTGGAAATTATTATAAAGCCAAAGCGAAGTCAAAGAGTTCCCTTGTGCTCGTTATTTCCACTGTTCTTTCAGGATTATTTCTCAATATTTTATTGATCATTTACCACTTTGCACAAATAAAGCAGATCTTCATCTGAATTAGACAGCAGGAGATTGAGGAAAGGAAAAAGAGCGAAGGAAAGTGACATAAAGATTCTATAGTAGTTTGTTTTTGTTCATAGATAATTTTACCTAATTTATTTAGACTAATAGTATGTTTGTTTAATGATTTAGCCAAAATGGGGTTTTGTCAGAAATGTACAGTTTTTTGTCTAGATATTTTTAGCAAGTCAATATATAAGATATGTTCTTTGCTGGTGTTTAAGACAATTATATAACGAGTTATGAAAAAGTCAAGTGAACGTATATTGTCATGGCTATTGAAAAGAATCCATATGATAATAAAGTATCTTCGGTGATGGTAAACTTTACATTGTACAATAATACAAAAGGTTATTATGAATTAATAAACAAACTAAAAAAGAATTGTGTCTTCTTGGTTGATTTCACCAGAAGAAAAATGTAGGCTTAAGTAATGACTCTGTTGGCGAATGGAGAACTCAATCAACTACCACACGGACATATTCTAAGGAATGAAAAATAGAGTAGATTGAAGATGTTGTACGACAGTATTAAAATGGCTCATACATTGTCTGGCAGCATTTAATAGGATATATTTGCTCTTTCTAAGAAACTTTGAAATAATATATCAGCCTATTTATTGCTTCTTTTTCAAACAAGAATCTCCTAGGTACTTACTTCCGTCTCTTTTATCTTCTAATTATAATCCTAAACTCATATTTTTCCCTTCCTTTTTATCCTTTGAATCCCTTCAAAGTAAGCCTATTAAAATTTACTACTACTCATTTTGGCCTCTAATCTCGTCAAAACAATCAATTAGCGTAATTAACTTGTCAAGTTTGTATTATTCAATCTGAACTATTTGTATTTAGTGTGCAACGCCATCTGGTTGCTAACCTGTAAATCGAACATAATCGATAAAGTACTTTTCTAACACATTCGACAATACAGTTCATAAAATTACGATATTTTATGACTGATTTTCATATAGTTCTTTCAAAGACGGTATTGAATTCGTATTTTCTTATGCCGTACCGTAAAATATTCTGCAAAAAATTTTTGTGTTAAGCCAGGAGATTTCAATAAAATTCTCCACTTAGTTTAATCAGAAAACCTATTTTTTTTTAATAGAGAAGAAAACGGAAGTTATCATTCGAAGATAACTTTTCATGAACAATAACGTCAAAAAATTATTTGGGTATCTCAAATATTAATTTGGAAAATTGCGATGTCTATTTCTTTATAATTCCGTTTTTAGACGCCTACAAAAGCAAATCAGGAAACGCCCTGACATTAAAAAAAAGCGTTAAAAAAGAAAAAAAAAGAAAAAAAAATGTACATCTCCGGTGGGACTCGAACCCACAGCCTCCGAATAACCTCGTTCTAGCCTACTAGAAGTCCGACGCGCTATCCATTGCGCCACGGAGACGACTTGATATAGAGTGCATTAAAATAGCTTATAAATAGAGTATTGGTTATTTGCTATACAGGAAATTCATTTTTTATTCATAAGATCAAGATGCAACGATTCTTTTTATAAACTTAACTCTTCATGAGGCACGTTATTCTAAATATAAATTATTATTTATCCGTTAATTGCTCTTTGTATGACAACAGCTACATTTTGCAGTTATATCAATAAAATAAACATGTTACGATGAAATATAATACAAGTTTCTATCTAATAAATGATACAAACATGTTCAATTTGACGAAATAGTTATTATATAAAGTATGCCTTTTTCTATATTTTCCACTTTATATCTGTAAGCGTCAATCATGAATTGGTTTTGTACGTTGATTATACCATTCAAGATTGCTGTAATATTCTCTTCTTTCGGTAAATTGTTAATCATTTCCTTTCAGAAACAAATCAATTATATTCTTTCTATTTCTTAGCTTGTTTTAATTGCCGAACTCGATGGCTTTCTGTTGATTCTAAAACGAAACTGCTATTCGATTGGTACGATATCAATAAAACTGAAGCTATCGTTAGTGATACTACCATCAGTGATAGGGCTAATTATCCGTTTCAAAAGAAAATACTTGGACCATCAGCTTCTTATCAAGAAGATGGTTCTATATATTTCAATAATATGGATTATCTTCAGGTACGAATTTTCAAAGGAATATACTTATATTCTTCTCTTATGCCATTGTTTGTTTTTTCCTAGGTTCAATCCTCCAATGAGCTAGAACCCCATGATGATTTCACAGTTGAAATAGTTGTACAATATGATTTTCAAGGTATACCATCGAATCAACCGTGTTGGTGTTTTCACAAAGGAGATTCCTTGGGGGTGAAACTTACAAAATTGGGTAATGGAGAATTTTTCGTAAACAGATTTGCTTCTGATTATTATGTAAGTTTTACTTTACCTACAACGGAAAATTCATTAATATATCTGGCAATAACATATCATGACCAATCGTCAATAATTTCATTCTATGTAAATGGGGTATTAATTCAAACGGAGGAAAAATCTTTCATTTCCATTGATTCGTACGAAGACCTTATCATCGGCAATTATGAGAATGAAGTACATAATTCAAACTTTCAAGGAAAGATCTACGCTTTTAAATGGTCCCATTTAGTTAGAGATACTTCCTACTTTTCCACAAATTGGAACAATTTTAACAGTAAGTTTTATGATTACTTTTTGTATTTCATTAGAAAATTGAATAGAAAACATCAAAGTTCATTTTTAAAATGCATTTGCTGTGGTTTTTTAACCGAAACTACAACTTTAACATAATTTATTATATTTAACAATGGACACAGCGTATTAAGCCAAATTCAAACCTATGAATATATTTCTATTTTTGTACGAATTACAAGTTTTATAGGTAAATTGATCTGATTAAAGGTTCGGAGAGCTAAACCTTACTAAGAGTTAATATTTAATAATTTCAAAATTCCCCTGTGTACAAAGCTAACACCGCATTGGTTCTCAAGACTCTATATAGCATGGCACTGGATAGATTTTATAATATTTAAGACACACGAACGTAATTAAATAAACATGATATTATTTTTATTTAAGTATTACACCAACATTTTGTAGGATCTAAACAATTTACCTTTAATTTTTCATTATATTTCACTTACGTCTATTGACCTAGATTATTCTAATATTCTAATCATTTACCATTCTTTCGGATTTACAAAAGAATATGGGCTTGCATTAGTTTTCAGATTGTTCTATAATCCTTCATTTCTAGTTTCGTTTTCAAAACAATCGGAAAAGAACATATTCCTGCTTGTAAACTTTTCGCCAGGTTTAAATTTTGATCATTTGATATGAAAATATTCTTAATTATAACGTTTTGTCTTTTCTACACAAAAGGTAAAAATTATTTATCTCTATTGTTTTTTTGCTGTTAAATTGAAGGGAAATCTATTTCTTTGGCAGATCTTGTTAAATGTGCATTGGTAAAAGACAACGATTTTTATCAGTGTGAAATTATTAAGGTTGATAAACATGTACTATCCTGCAGAACATGCGATACTGGCTATGAATTGAGTGTCAATCAGTCGAAATGCCTTAGTATTTAATCGTCTACATTCAACAGTTTCTTTTTATTTAAGTACATTTCTTTTATATCAGAATGTCCCGATAATTGTTTCAACTGTCGCGAGAAAACTGTATGGAATACAGAGTATGAAGCTACCGAGTGCTTGGATTGTAAACCCGGCCACTTTTTGGATAAGAACATTTGCAATTGTATAAAAAACATTACTATTTATAAATATGCGTTAACGACGTTTCTTTTCAGCCTGTCCGAGCGGATGCTTGAATTGTACTAATACACCAGCCTGCTTGGAATGCAATACTGCATATACGTTAAGAAAAGATACACAAGACTGTTTACCTTGCCCCTTAAATTGTAATTTTTGCGAATGGAATTCGTTCACAAAACGTACGGAATGCAAAGAATGCAAAGATGCCTACGCAATTAATAATGATGGAGGGTGCACTTGTAATTTTAAAATAACGAAAAAGTGTCATTTATTCTACGTTTCATTCTTATTTATTCTTATAGCTTGTGGAAAATACTGTATCTCGTGCATTCATTCTAAATATACGGGGATATCGTGTAGTGCCTGCTCAAGTTTAGCCTTTAAATCGGAAGACAATGGAAGAGTCGTTTGTCAACTTTGTTCACAGTTTCTTCTTGGATGTAAACATTGTTTGAACAAAGACAGATGCTCAGTTTGCGAATCGTCAGCCTATTCTCTTTCCAACACTGGGAGATGTTTACTATGTAGCCAAGCCGTTCATTTTGCATGCATTGAATGTGATATTACTAGTGGACACGGTACTTGTAAAAAATGTCAAACTGAATTTTACGTAAAAGAAGATATATGCGCCCCGTGTCCACCTAATTGCGATTTGTGCGACGAAATAAATGGCCGAGTAGAATGTGTAAAATGTAAAGCCAATTATGGATCGTCAAACACTAAAATTTGCGATCATTGTCCGAATAATTGCTTAAAATGCGCAGTTTCTGAACATAAACTGAAGTGTTTGGAGGGACAATGTATAGAAGGATATACTTTAAATGAAGCAAAACAATGTTCGAAATGCCCTGATAATTGTAAACAATGTACATATAATAATGTTAGAGGAAAAACTGAGTGCTTAGGAACTAATTCGAACCATTTCTGTTTGGAAAATGCTAATGGAAAGTCCTGGACTAAACGTGTTGACGGAGAGTGTATTCGTAAGTTTCCTCAAAGATCAATAAATTTCACTTTTAATGTGAAAGTTCTTTTTAGCTTGTCCTCAGAATTGTGATAAATGCTACTTTCCCACTGCAAATTCAGATTTTCCCGTTTGTTATCCTTCAAAATGTCAACGTACTTTTGGATTTGATGATCTCACTGGATTTTGCTTTCCTTGTCAGAGTGGATGCGATTTGTGTAAAAAGACTGGCGTAAGTAGCACATGCTTGAAATGTAGTAAAGGATACGCTCCAGAATATAAAAGTGGTACATCCGATATAACTCTTTGTCGTTCTTGTTCATCTATATCTAATTGTGATTATTGTGAAGTAATTTTGGGAGAAGTAAAATGTTTAAGATCGCCTTGTTCTGTTAAAGAAAACTCATTAAATAAGAAGTTCTCATTTACAACTCAAGCTTGTTCGCTGTCATGTCCATCTGATAGTTCGTGCAATTCCAAGAGTATCGTAGACGAAGGGGGAATTTGTTATTGTAGATCATGTCCAAAGGGGTCACAAGTTATTTTAGATGGACCTAATTCTGGGGTTTGTAAATCGTGTGGAAGCGATTGCATCGAATGTGTCCTTAATAGTGAGAGAACAGATGTTGAGTGCGTTACTTGTTCAACCGCAAAACAATGGCTTACAGTCAATATTGCAGGAGTTGAGGTTAAGGGCTGTTACGGTAGAATCCTTAAATGCTACTTTTTGCACATTTATATTATTAAATTACGATTTATTTTTGGATAGATTGTTCGGATGCAAGACCGTCATGTGCAATCCTGGAGTATGATGGTACGTCATGCAAATGTAAACTAGGTGGCTGTATTGGTGACGAATCAACAAACTATCGAACTGTTTTTCAGAATTCTCTGGGAAACAGAAATTGCAAAAGTAATATACTCACTTTCCTATTTGTTTTTGTCATATCTAATTACATTAATATAAATGCAGCATGCCAAACGCTTGATCCCAACGCACTATGGTGTACGGGAACGTATGAATCCTTTTCCATAGCAGGGTGCAAAGGAGGATACGACCTTCTAACAACCAAATGTCTACGTTTGTTGATGAGATTATAGAAGTTATTAATTTTTACTAATTATTAAATTTTTCAGGTATTTCACCTGGGTGCTCTCGGTGGGATCCAAATCATTCCGGGATCGACAAAAATTATATGAAATGTCTTCGTTGCATTAATGGCTATTATCTATACAATGAAAAGTGTTTTAAGTGCTCGGACACTGTTCCACATTGTCTATCATGCATATATCACAACACATATAAAGTTATATGCACTAAATGCTCAATTGGAAAGGGTTATAATTGTGGACATAGTACTTGTACTTCAAGCAACTGTGCAGAACCGTGGGTATTACATTCTAATCCTGACCTTTGTGGCTGTCTATCTTGCCTTACGAACACTTATGACGGAACAAATTTTGCTAACTTTTACTATTCTTGTGCAGCAGTTTCATATTCTCTACCAGACTGCTCTGCAACTATTTATATTTCACCAACACCGTCGACTCTTTGTAGAGACTGTTCCCCGAGTTACATTCTTTCTGATAGTAGATCTACATGCGTATCCTCTGTTGGCTGGAATTGCGAACAGGAGTACCTATATGGAAATCCTCTGCAATGCCAAGTGCCGGCTATTAATCATTTCAAGGTTTCAGATTCAACAACACCGCTGCCAGTTCAAACGATAATCAACGGATGTGTTTATTATAAATATCTACAAACTGACTCACCATCTCAACCATCTAATGGACGATGTGCTCAATGTGAAGATAACAAAATAATTGAATTTACATCATCTCTCTATTATACGTGTCAAACTTGTTCACTGCAATCTTCTATGACGAATTGTCTCTTAGCAATATCCCTTAATAGTAAATGTTTATGTTCGACGTGCCAAACTAATATACCAGGGAGTAATTATCTGATGAAACCAGACATGTCTGGCTGTTTGAAATGTTTCATTTCATTTTGCGCCAAATATTCTTTACAACTTGTATCTGGTCAATATTATTGTCGATGTACTTTATGCCTCGATGAGGCTGTACTGAATGATGATGGAACAAAGTGCGTCGATTGTTCTTCGACTACTTGTGTTGGTGGATCTAAATATGTATCAGATGACATGTGCAAATGTAGATGTAAATCTGATGAAATTCTATCAAAGGATGAAATTACTTGTATTTCTTGTTCAGAAATGTCAATATCACAATGTAAGGTGGATAAGCTTTATTTGGATAACAATATTTGTAAATGCTCTGAATGCTTGGAAGGATATACTTTGAGTTTTGATTCCAAACAATGCCTAAGTTGTACTACGTCGCCGGGGGCTGGAACATCGCACTGTCGAAAGTGTCGACATGATAAAAATTTGTTAACACATACATCTTTCTGCGTAGAATGTAATGATAATTATGGACTTTATCATGGTATTCAGAGTACAGGGACGTGTATTCAATGCGGTGTTGGATGCAAGGCGTGCGAAGTTCATTTAGGATCCACAAATAAACAGTGTAAAGAATGCTTAGCTGGATACGCCTTGAACAGTGAAAAGATATGTGTCCAGTGTCCTCAGACTCCTATGGCATGTAGTGACTGCTATTTTGATAGCTCAGATGAAACAAAGATCCTTTGTAAACAATTCAGTTGTATAGGGAATTCGGCTTTGAGGGATAAGGATTTCAAGTGTGAAATTTGTCCAATTTCAAATTGTTTACTTTGTACAAAAGATATTAGCAGCAAATTTGTTTGCTTAAAATGTTCTAAATCGTATTTTATTGATTCTTCTGGACAGTGTGAGAGTTGCGCTTCAGATTGTGACTTTTGTACTGAAAAAGATAAATGTCTGCCGGACGGATGTAAAGATGGTTTCATTAGGAAGAGATTAGTCGGAACTTGTGTAAAATGTACTGGAGAAGGAGTATTGAGATGTAGCTACGAAAGTACATTAAGTGATAATCTCATACCGCAATTATGTGAATCTAGCTACTATCTGAATAATGAGGTAACTCCGAATGCCTGTGAAAGTAAGTATAAATTCCGCATTGCAAAAACAAAGCTCATTTATTTCCTAATACATATTTATTAAAGAGTGTGCTTCTCATTGTAAACTCTGTAACAAAAACGGTGCTGGTAAATGCGATATAGATAAATGTGAAGATGGATATTTCTATAGTTCTTTCGATAAAAAATGTTACGAAAGGAATGGAAATTGTCTTGGATATCAAAGGCTTTTTGATATGACAATCTGCTCTTCTTGTAATTACACTACACATGTTCTCGTTAGCGGAGTATGCCGAATTTGCCCTGTTGGCTGTAATGGATGTTCTTTTACTCACAAGTACTCTTGTTCTTCGTGTGTCTTTGGCTATTATTTAAACGAGGTAAAATCATGTTCCCCCTGTCCTGGTGGTTGTAAAGAATGCGTTTTGGAAGAGGAAAGAGTAAGATGTACATCATGTTTAAGTAGATATGGACTTAAAAACGGCCTATGCGAGTCGTGCGGAGTGAGAGAATGCCAAAGTTGCCAAGAGATAGAGACAGGTGCTGAGCTTGAGTGTACTTCTTGTGCGAGTAATCATTTCTTAAGTACAAATATTTGCAGTAAATGTCCAGAAAATTGCGAAATTTGTATACTGGTTAACAAAAATCTTGTATGTAGTAAATGCTATAAAAACTTTGCCAGAGACACGGATGGAACATGTGTTCCTTGCTCAACAAATTGCAATTTCTGTACGGTCTTAACTGACAAAACAACTAGATGCCAAAGTTGCATTTCCAATAAATATTCGTTACAAAGTAATGGAAGATGCAAATTATGTTCGGATGTCACCTTTGAAAACTGCGAAACTTGTAGTGATGCTGATCAAGATGATAAGACAAAATGCCGTTCCTGCCGAAGAGGGTATACACTTAAAAATGACGGATCATCGTGCATTTACTGCAGTATTGATAAATGTACAGACTGCATTCATGGAAAATTATGCGAAAAGTGCGAAGACAACACTTTCAAAGCGAATTACGGAACTCGGTGTGCAAGTAATTATTTATATTTCAATTTCAATAGATTTATCATATTGATATTAAAAATACTTGAATCTTATTGCAGAAAAATGCTATTCTTGCGTTGGTAATAGAGATACGTGCGGAGGAGAGTTGTCTAAACATTTCAATTTCACAGCCAGCATTAAAGTTGTCAATTGCACGTTTGGAGATTGCTGGGTAATACGAAGAGAGAGAGAAAATGAAATCACCTATATAAGAAAGTGCGGTAGCGAACGATGTTCGACAGATTACAGTAATGAAAATTGCAGAACTGTAGATGGACAGAAGGAATGCAGTAAATGTTGCTCAACTTCAAATTGTAATAATTGGTTCTTGGACGGCACAGCCGGAAAATCGAGAGACTTACCTATGATAACATTAATTACATTTTCCATTATTTTACACTATACATGTATATACATTTTATATTAATATATATATATATTTAATTTAAGTCTTCATTTCCTTCGTGATGCCAACTCCAGACTTAATCAGAAAAAAACTGTTTTCATTTCATTGTTTTTATCTATTAAATATTCTGTTAACAATCTCTTGGAACTTGAAAATAAATTAATATTATTATTATTATTATTATAGGTGTTATAGTTATTATTGTCAACTGAAAAACACATTGATTCTTACCTGATCCTTTTGAATTTTCAACATTTTCTTCAAAATCATATCGTATATTTGAATCTAAATTCTGGTTTATATGTACCTATTAGTAGTTAGGTTTATTGTCTTTATTAGTGGCTTTTGTAATGATCGAACATTGTGTGAATAACTATTTCAAATTTGTTTGTGTTACGCATTAAAAAATTCAATAGTTTTAAATAATGAAATGATATTAAAGACAGTTCTGTTTAAACTTTATCTAGGAGATAAAGTGAACAAGATCTAGAATGTCTAGAGAACCTGTGTAATCGTGAAACTCTAGTACAAGTTAGTATTCTCAGACGCTTTAAGATGTTTTATAATAATGAAATTTAATAAGATTCTTTACACACACAATTACCTCTTTCCCAAGTTTCATTAAAGTATTCTTGTTCTCTATAAACGTTAGTCCATTTAAAGGCATATATGCGGCCTTCAAAATCACGAGGATTGCAACTAGTATCACAATGACCTATATATAAAGGATAATTGCTTTGTTGAAGTTGAACAGACAGAGTTAGTTCTTTCACTTTTTCAGCATTCTTATACAAAATTAATTTGGAGGATTGAGAGTTAAATGTTAAACCAATATACTCCAATGATTCTCCTAAGCTTTCAATCATAAAATTGGTTAATAATAGTCCGTTGCTTTCAGTATTATAAACCAAATCTGCGAAACCATTTTTAGCAATTCTTAAACTAATTTGGAAATCTTTTTTAAAAATGTATAACGGATAGTTTCCTTGAATACGGTAGTCCTCTTTCATAATCATTTCAATAGTAAAACTTCCATTAGGTTTTAGGTCATCGTCACTCGTAACCTATAAATAGATTTTTGTATGATAAGTGACGCAAACATTTCCGGTCTGTATAAAGTTTATATACAACTAAATATATTTACAATGAACTTGGAAAATTCAGGCAAGAAAATATATCCATTTTTGCCATAGACAACATTGTTACCCGCTATATGTCCAATTTTTTTCTTTTTTGACAAATCTCTTATCTCAGATTGATGGGGAACTGTACCGTCCTCTGTTACATTATAGAAATCATATAATAAGACAGTCTTGTCATCCGAAAAAAGCCACGGTGATCTAGAAAGTGTTGCTGAAAAATAACTCACAACAGTTTGAAACAATAATAGATAGAACTATTTTTCACTCACTGCTAAAATAGAAGAAAGGTAGTAAGAGACTTAGAAAGAAGTTTAGATGTCTGTTAACCATTCGTTCTGAGGAGAATTGAAAGAACAATGAATTAGAAATATTTCTGTTCAGTAATAAATATTCAACTGGAGAAACAAATCGATTATCATTGCTTGTTTTGCTAACTGATTTTTGACGTATACTTTCATGTTAATTGCTTGAGCAAATTTTCATTCATATTAATATATTGAATAATCTAGTAAACGGACAAGATTTTTGTCCTCCTAAAACGCTGTAAAAAGGAACGATAGACAAACATTTACTCAGATGATTATTACAACAATACTGTATAATGAAATTAATATTTAAACTATATTAATATTGATGTATAAAAAGCATAGTAAAGTCTACTCTTCCTTAATGTTTCCAACTTTTTAGGTATAAATATACTCGGACAAGTTGAATGGGTAGATGGCATCATCAGCATTTATTAACCAGCAGTATTTACCACCTCTATTCTCTTTTCTTCCGCTTATTAAACAACCATTTGCAACAATTCCAACTTTCTCTTCAGTTATTAAATCTTGCTTTTGAATATTATCATAAAAGTTAAAGTCATTTCTCCCAATACGTCCTATAAGACCTCCTGTTTTATGATAATTGAATCCCAGCCCTTCAATTGAAATGTCAAGATAGTATCCGCCTATCAGTTTTTTCGATTTGATAATCTTGTATGTCAACTGAGAATCTGAAAAAGATGGTCTAATATGCAAAATATGATTCGTTTTCTTTAACGATAATCGGCCATTGTAACTTTGAAAAAAGTCCAGTTCATTCTTCCATTGCATAATGCTGATCGATTGTAAATATATTTCATTCATTGTGATTGTTAAATTTCCAGATGGGAAATAGATGAATACTTTATGCATGTAGTAATCGTCCACAGGTTGTCCAATAACAGTTATATTCGAAGAATAATCTGAGAAAATTCTTATCTTATCCCCAGTTTTACCCGTCACGTCATAGCATATAAATTTTGCCTTATCCGTTTTCTTATCTTTAACTATTTGTAAAAAGTGGGGATCACTTGAACCAGTTGTTGAGGGAACCTTGTTTCTTATGGAGATTAGCATTGGCATTGGTAAATCAGGAGACGTTACGTTTGTACATTGAAACATCATAGCTAAAATTTACTCTTCTTCCATTTCAGAGTCTTCTAAAGTTGTAATTGTGACGTTTAGATCGGGTCCGTTGAAAGTAAACGTTTGATCTATGGCGAAAGTTTGAGATCCTATTTTAATACTTATGTCAAAATCTGAATCGTCAGCCTTCGAGGCTGAGAAGAGAGAGAGGCTAGGAGGTACATTGAATGAAAAATAGATTCCTAATTATTAAGATAATATAGGACAAGGAAAATCACTACTTACGAGCAGCTTGCTCCCGTATCTGTCATTTGAAGAATTTGAAATGATACAGAATCCCCTTCATCTACGCTTCGACTTGAACCTAAGGTTAGCGTATAGAACTTCACCTCCTACTCCTTATTAGCATAGAAGCATTCATTAGATTACAATTTAAATTCAATAATACAAATCTTACTGTATATCATAAAAACACATATGAGCGACAAAAGCGTTAGCTTTCTCATATCTACTACTGTTGTTGTATGTATTATGTGGAGAAATCATGTTTTTATACTAATCAGAACGAAGACACTCACGTCAAAAATTTCAATAGACTTTCGAAGATCTGATCGATTATCTTTTCGCTAGAAAGAAGTTTGCGCAAATATCCAAATAGATAATTAAAAATAGAGTTTTGCCATGGAAACTATTTCAATTCTCTTTGAATAATTTCCATTTTATGTTAGCCTATTGATTGAACTTTTGCCTAGATTGACAGTTGATGTTTTGATAAATTACTTTCTTTGGGAAGAGATAGTTGGACTAATAAGTTTCGTTTCATATTAATAATAGAATATAGGCTGATAGTTCCTTATGTTGACTAGCGAGTATATATTGCAAATAAGAAGTGCTGAGTCTGAGTAGAATCAGCACCGTCAATACTAAATCTGCGTTCTGAAAAAGAGCTTGAAAGGAATTTAATTGTGAAATGTCGACGTCTACAGTGCTTGAACTTTATGAGAAGAAAATGTCGTCGAAGGAGGCAATGAAAGAAGGCGAACAGGAAGACGTAAGAAATTATTATGAGGAAATTGATAATTATGAGAAAATGATATTGGAAATATTCGAGAGAATTCTAGATGCTATGTCTAAGGATAAAGATATGAGAATTGTATGGGCGCAAGAGTCTATAGAGTGGAGAAAATACATGTCGAAAATGAATATTTGCGGAACTGCATTAGAAATATTTCACGGTGAAATATCATCGAGATATTGCGACAAGAAGATTGCCGATCTTGAAAGCAAGATTGAAAAACTATCTAAAAGAGTTGAAAAGCACGTCAACGACAAGATAATTTATAGTGAACAAGATCGATCTATTATTAAGCTAGCCAGTTATTTCGAGAATGGAGTGAGAGGAGCCTGCCGACTATGCTCGGAAAACGTTCACCATTTAGTTAATTGCGAAGTCTTTAAAGGTTTTTCGTTAAAGAAGCGAATATCCTACCTAAAGAAGGAAAGTAGGTGTCATATATGTCTTAAAATCGGTCACTTAGGACCCAATTGTAAAACTTCTATTAAATGTACGGTCGAAGGATGCTCTGAAAAACACCATTATCTTATGCATAGGCCACGGAATCCTTCTGCTAAATCTGAAAAGTATAAGAGAAAATTGACCAATTAGCTTTATTCTTTTGACATTTTGTGTTCTATTTAATGATGGAAATTTTTGAAAAAATATACATTTCATTAGAAATAAACGTCCATGATGTTTATTGAATAATATTCAATCTATACAACTTTATCTATTCAGTGAAAATTCCATTTGTAATACGACAAAATAATTGATTATGAATCTCAGCTGGGATGAAAAGGCCCGTTAGCTCAGTTGGTTAGAGCGCCGTGCTGATAACGCGGAGGTCGTGGGTTCGACCCCCATGCGGGCCATGAAATTTTTATTTCTTCTGTTTTTTTTTTATAATAGAATTCTTATCTTTGCGTGAGAATGTTTTTTATGAGAAGAAACAGAAATTACGTAATAGTTTATATAGATATAGTTTTTATCGTATTCTTGTTTCTAAGATAATAATTACTAAAGAAAATGATCTTATTGGACGTAGGAGACATTTTAAACGAGAAAATCTCTTTATTCAAACATAAGAAACAATCGACTGTTAAACAAATATAAATAAAAAAATATGCTATTAAAAAGGTAAATTTGAATGTAAAACTGATTATATCTGAAGATTTGAATCGTAAGCCCCAGTGGCGCAATCGGTTAGCGCGCCGTACTTATAAGAGCAGTACTGGCCATGCGGAGGTTGTGAGTTCGATCCTCACCTGGGGCATATACTTTTTATTTCAATTTTTTATTATGTCAAAAGAGCATAAGAACGGCTATATTCTCTGTGTTTTTTTTTTACATATTTGTAGTTGGAGGAATAGAGCCACCTATATGCTAACAATGATAATTTTTCCTTAAATACACAATAGTAATTTTATTCGTACAAATTGAAGAGTGTATTTCTTCCTTTCTTATACTGTATATCGTCATAAAATGTTTCAACAAGTTCCCAGAGTATTTAGGTCGTGTTCTTAAACATATTTCATGTTCAAAACTATTGAACAATTGTAAATTCTTTGCTAGGTTTTGATTGTTTGATAATAGGAAGAGAACTTGAATGTTTGCTCCTCTATTACATCTATTACAAGCTAAACTTTATGCGAAAGGTATATCATTTTAAAAGAAAATAATTAATAATCCTACAGACAGGTTAGCATTCATATGTCAGGATGGCCGAGTGGTCTAAGGCGCCAGACTCAAGCGTAATGCTTACAGTTAAACATGTATGTTAGAACTGTGCGGGGCGTTCTGGTCCGCGAATGCGGGCGTGGGTTCAAATCCCACTTCTGACACATTTTTTTTATTGCGGGAAACGACATCTATTGGTTGTGGTTATTTTATACTGTATATACTGTATATAAATATAAATATTGTTCGTTGATAATGTTGTGATGTTGAGGCTATCGGTTTGAGAACAGCTTCGAAGGCCACTGTTTTTCGGCTTTAGCCGTCTCTCCACTTCCTTTTGCTATCTTTCAACGATTTTTATGGAATATCTGATTACGCATTGTAAATGCTTGTAAAAATTTGTCAATTAAACTGACAAAGCGTGGGTGTTGTGTACAAGAAAGATTAATATTTGACATAGAGAGATCATTTTAATTAATAAATATGATATCCGATTTGTTTTACTTGAAGAGATCTCGAATAGAATTACAGTATTTTGGACAATTCATTCTCCGAGTCTTGTTACAAAGTTATATTTATGAAATTCTCTTTATTAACATTGAATATAATCGATATTTGCGACGATTGAATCGTCAAATTAAAACTTTGAACCAATTTTATAAATCAACAAGAACTCTTTATCTTTAAACAAGTTTTATAGAATGTTTCATTTCGATTGAATGACTTCGACAGATATTTAGACATTGACACTGCCTTACAATTCTCGTTTGTTAAACAATTTTCAAAGCAATATTTACCTTTGGAACAATGTAATCTACCCTCAACATCATTGTTAGATTCTCCAATATGGATGAATTGAAAATTATCTTGCGAATGTCCAATCACATAGAATTCTATAAAAGTTATATTCGAAATTGAATCAAGGAATATGTACTTTCCAAACAATTCAAGTCGGCAAATCATAAAAAGGAAATAATATTCATAATCATCGTGATAAATATGAAATAGAGTAGTTTGATCGCATTTTAACTTGTTGAATCTAGCAAGAGCATCTTGCCTAACCCATAGATTCAATTCACTGCTAGAAATATTTTCGGAGGTAACAATCATAAATCCTTGAATAGTTGAACAAGTTTTCAATTCGAACATAGCAGTATTGAACGAATAATAATTATTTAATCGAAATTTTAAATTATTATTATTTCTGACTCCAATTTTATAGTTCAGAATACCGAAAGCTGTGAAATTAATAGTATTAAAGAGAATGAATATCAGTGATTAAAACTTATTCTACCTATTTCTACCAAGTTGACTTCCAAGATTACAGCTTGTAAAAGAAACTGACCATCGTAATTGTCCGCAGAACTTTCGAATGATAATTCATCGTCCGCCGAAACGGATGTTAAATATTTCACTGTCCTTCTTATAGTCGAATAAGTAATATCTTTAAAAATTTTATTTTCAACAAATTTTATACAATCGATGTCATCAGATGCATTTAGAGTTTGAAATCCAAAGTAATCATTTCTCTGTACTCTAATTGGATTTTTATATCGAAGTTTTGACAGTAATAATGGCTGACTTTCGGGTAATTCTATCAAGTTAACGCACTTGAATTGATCTGAGTGACCAATTCTACGCCAGATACCTAACAAAAATTTAGTAGAATCACAATATTTCTCCGTGTTAAACTATAATACCTAAGTAACAAGCATCACTAGTTCTTCTAACATAATTCCAACCGATTATATATCCATCAGTTTCTATCACGCGTTGTGTATCAGTAAAAATATTGAAATGCCCTACACTGCTAGCTGAAATTGCTGGTGTATAATCCCAGTTGATATTTGTAGGATATGATCTAATAAAGCATTCTACCCAGGCCAAAAATGCTGAAAAATAAGAAAATCAATTAAAAATTTCTTATCAAAACTACGTCTCTCCACCTTGGCAAAAGATGAAGAGAAGATAATTGTCTTTCTTCATTTATTCGTTAAAATTTTAAAGAAATCAAAAAAACTGAATCCGTTGTCTTTATAATTAAAGATGAAAATCTTTTTGATAAACTTGTTAAATTATTAATTACCAAAAAAACAGAAAAGAGTAAATAATCTACTTTATCTTAATTGATAAATTTCTTTAATATATTGAAATAATTTACTTCTTTGAAATCTAAATAGCTTTGTGATAGGATCAATAGGTAATGGAGTGATATAATTATATTAAAGATATAAGCGTTATTTCTCATCTAATTCCACTATACATTGTTAGATGGCACTCGTAAACTATACATTATCCGTAATTGTAAAACAGAGGAAAAAATCTTTTAATTATTAGATAAATCAACTATTCTTCCTCTTCTAGGTAATAAAACTCACTGATTTATGCTTTTACGTTCATTTCAACTAATATATTAATATTTTCAATTAGCAAATTGTAATACTAAATTATAAGCGATAAATCTATAAAACAAAACATTAAAACTATAGGACTAAATGATTATGATTATTCGATAAATATTCAATACATCCTTTGTTCAAAAATCTTCTATCCCTAGACAATCGCCCTTTTTTTAACGACAAAAGTAATCTTAGTTCCTGAGCGTTTCGCACAAGATAAATACAAGTATATTTTTCCTTTAGAGGAATTTAATGATGATATTTGTTTATATTATACAAATCTTGTATTATTGTTCAGGTAAATCATGAATCTCGGCTATAGTTTGGTATTTTTTTTATTAAAACAATGTTTCCTTTTCTCAGTTGTTTGTTGGAGAAGATCGTATGCATCAGTAGTATCTTTTTATCCGAATAGTTTATTTTGGGCTGTTCCCGAAGATGATACTTACGAAGGAGGTGGACAGACGTCCATTTTCAAAGACGTAAACTATCAAGTGCAAGAAAGGGGATTTCTCATACAATGGACTTATTTGAGAAAAAACAGTGACGTTTGCTTCTTAGGTTTGGTGTATTAAATATAAACATTTTAGTGTTTAAATATCTAAAGGAAATAAATTGTTGAATAGATTTCTGGTTGTTTACCCCATCCAATAAATTTGAACTGATTACGAAAAGTAAATTACCTCCTGGACCATTCGATACAGTTACTCACTATACCTTAGACTATCCGTTGCAAGTTGATCAAGATTTATATATGGGCATTCGCCCGGGGCCTTCAGACGACAAATGTATTGCTAAATTGGAATCGGACTCGTCGTATACATCAAACTTTAACTTTCCGAATAGGTATACTTCATCAGGGACAGCTTCACAAGTGGGAGACACTATTACGGCTTCTTCCACAGGTTCCCGAGTTTACTTCTTTCAATCAACCGTTCTAAAAGGATCTTTAGTACCCATCAGTAAGTTTTCCCAAGTTTTCATCTCTGCAGTAACTATTTTCTTGTTTTTCTTTCAGTTTACTTAAAAACCAGTACAACAGACTATGCTTTTGCTTCAAAACTGAAACTCAGTTTTTCACTAAGTGAAAGCCATTCAACTCTAATGCTTGAAACAAAAGTTTTCTCAGTCATTAATGCAGTTGTTTTAATATCAAATTCAGAACCATTACAAGAAATTTTTGTTCATATTTCTACAAGACCAGATGATAAGCAGTCAAAAAATTTATGCAAAATGTCTATTCCCACGTCAAACAGCAATAAACAAATTATTGTTGAATTTACCTGTTCTGAGAAAAATTCTGGAAAGTTCATTTTTCTTGAATCAATCATGACATTTCAATCCACTGATCTTTACATCATTGGTGAAGCTATAGCTGAGACAGAGTTTAAATGGACGCCTATACCACCGCAAAAAATTCAGAATGATTACCAAATAAGAGTGGCTTCAATAAAGAGGTGTATAGACGAATGCGAACAAGCTGCAAATTGTAATTCAGCAGCTGTAGGTGAAGCAAGCTGTATTTTAAACATTGAAAATTCTTTAATTGACTTTCATACAAAGCATACAAATGTTTTAATATTGTATAAGACGTATTTCAAATTTGAAAATATATGTTAATATGTAAACTTTATCCTTTGTAAGCTTTATGAATTGCCTCTATTACTAGAATTTAATGTTCAATTGTTACATTTTCTATTTTATTATCCTATGTTTTCAAGCAAAACTTTGCGGGACAAAGTTTCTTTGGTCTGAACATCTAATAAAAATTACATTTTGAAATTTATTACTACATGTATTTTGAATATTCATACTACGAAAATTTACTATTCTCTTTATCTTATTTGATTAAAACAGTCAAATACTTTCCTGTTTCTTTACAATTGAAATGATATTTTGATATTTTCCCCTTCTCTAGACACAAATATCGAAAACATTTGTGATTTTCCCGTTTGCGAATCAATCCTACAGGTTTCCTTTGAGTTGTCAATAAAACTGCATCGATTTGCACATACAATAATTCAACCTTGAGCCTCATGTAGAACACTTTTTTACGATATCAGTTAGCTGGAACTGGGACTCTTCAACTGTCAATAAAAAATAAGAATAAAAATAGAGTTGTTAATGAAATGAGTCGAGCTATAATACTTTACCAGGGTTGGTTCACCTGTTCTCCGTAAGGATCGATCTGTCGCTCTATAAATATTTATAATTTATCAAATATGTTCTAACCAATCACCAAGTAAATAAGTTTACATTGTTTCAATTGCAAACAATCGCAAAAAGTAAAATATTTTTCTGATTTTGCAGAGTTTTATAGATAAAGTAAAAGAATTTTGAGTGCACTAAGTCTTTTAATCATTTGCCAAAATAATAAAAACTAATGTTTCGACAGGAATTGAATACTCGATATTTTTCAAACCGCTTGAATGTAAAATGATGAAATATTTATCAGTTTTTGTTTAATGTTCAAATCAATGATTGTTTCTATAAGTTTATACATTAAAACTGTTTGCAATTGTGGAAAATAATTGTATGGATGGCAGCGGAGAAAGTATGGCGAAGACTTTCAAAAGGAAGACGTTCAATAGACAGTAAACTAAACACAACTCGAGCACTTCAAGATCAGTGCGACACGAGAAGAAATTTTTTGACCATATTGTTCTTGACATGCTATAGAAGAGACAAACTTTGAAAAGCGGTTTGAAAGAGACAGAAGAGTACCTTTGCAAAGAGTCAAAGTCTTGTCATAGAATGCAGTCGTTACATTATCGGTGACGATGAAAAAGACGGAAATTAAAAAAACATAATAAAGAATAAACCAATAGACATCAATTTCATAACAAACTCTTCACTGACTAGGACAATTGATGCAATCTATTTATAGACATTTAAAAAGTAGTAATGTAAGATAGACTTTTAAATTATTCGAAAATCTTCAATATCTGCTATTTAATTAAGAAATGATGAAAAAAAAATAGTACTTATTGCCGGACAGAGATCTGCCGTGACCAGGATTCGAACCTGGGTTGTCTCGGCCACAACGAGAAGTACTAACCACTATACGATCACGGCTTACAAGTACTTGAAGTTTTAATTGCTACAAACAATGGTTAATTAAATATGAACAATTTTCTTATCATTTAGCCTATTTTCTGTTAACTTTTTCCCCATGTCTTCCGACTAGTTATGTAATTGTTTGTATTCTTAATAAAGTGAATAAAAGCAATCGTTCAATAGAGATCCTTCAATAATAAAGTCTTTAGCGCATACTTCAGTCGCAAAATCAATTGTTCAAAACACGAAAATCGAAACTAATAAATAATTTGCGGTATTGAGGTAACTTTGATGTAAAACAAACCATAAATTCTGCATTAACAAACGGTTTTATTCGAAAGACAAAAAATGTAACAAGTACTCATGGGCGGACACTACTCAGGTTGGCCTACAGAACTTGTAAGCTACACTAAGGTTATGTATGTTCTGGAAAAAATGTGTTTTGCTCGATAAAAATTCTCTGGAAATGTCCCGTTTACCGGAAAAATCTCGAATAGAAATATTATCATTACTTCAACAACCTAGTATGAGTGTTAGGAAAGTGGCGAAAAAAATTGGTTGTAGTCCTACTACTGTTCAAAGTATTAAAAGAAAATTTGCTGAACATAAACTGATAAAAGATTTACCAAGGTCGGGTAGAAGATGTAAAGTGAGCGAAGAGACAAGAACTAGATTAATATCAACCTGTCAGAAACACCCAAAATGGACGGCGAGGGAAGTTCTATTAAATTCTACAATAGATCAAACGCTATCTGTCTCAACAGTGAAGAGGATCTTGGCGAGACACAGACTTAATTTGCTCGTTGCCCAAAAGAAATCGGAATTAATAAAAGCTCTAGTAGGAAAACACGAAGACGGAGAAGAGGAGAAGGAGGGTAACTGTACCACATAATTGTTTCTTGTTTATATTAAATATAATTGTTCACCTTGGAGAAATAAAGCTCACGAATAAAAAGCAAATAATTGTAGAATTAATAGGAAACTTACAAATTTCGTTCGGATCATAATTACAATCTATAAACAGCAAGAGAAATTTAAAATCTACTTCTTCGCTCAATCCTTATATTTCGTGTATTATTAAGAAAGTTACGTAATCTTTCTACTTGATCTCTGTTTCTTTTATAGAATAGCCGTCGAGTTTTCTATTACCTTGTAACGGATGTGTTTTATATACGTGTACAATGCAGTTTTGACTTAATATCAAATTAGTATTGAAATACGTATAATGGATGTGATGACGGGTCTATAATGGAAAACTGTTTCAGATAGCTTTAAATAGCTGCAAAACAGCGTTACAAGTGCAATGTACTGGAAATTTGTTTCTTGTACAAAAAAGAGAAGACAAATATGGCGTATGCAAATTTGAAGCTGTTCATTCACACTTTGAAAATTAATGGTACAATTAATTTATAGAATATACTATTAAATAATTAAACAGTAGTTATGTCGTCTCCGTGGCGCAATGGATAGCGCGTCGGACTTCTAGTAGGCTAGAACGAGGTTATTCGGAGGCTGTGGGTTCGAGTCCCACCGGAGATGTATATATATATTTTTTTTAGCCAGATTTACCTGAAATTCATTGAAAACTGATTTTTGCGTGTTTCGTCTTATACACAACTAGTTATACTATAAATAACAGAATCTTTCAACAAGGGTCAAAGTCTTATCAACAGTCGCTTAATCTATTTAATGGAGGTAATTCCATTTCGTCTGGATCTCATACAATCATTAGGAAATGGGCAAAAAATGAAAAAAATTGGTACTTATTGCCGGACAGAGATCTGCCGTGACCAGGATTCGAACCTGGGTTGTCTCGGCCACAACGAGAAGTACTAACCACTATACGATCACGGCTTACAAGTACTTGATTTTGAATTAAAAAAAAACAGTAGCTCGTTCAAAAAGGAGTTATTTTCTAATCAATATTTTTATTCTTTGATAAAGCAAAGGTTGATATCTTTAACTTTTAACAAAGTTGCTCTAAATCAATTGTTTATTCATCTTTGGTATTAAAGGATTACGATAACACTATCGAATTGGCAGTTATGTTATATATTGTCAATTCGATATGAAATTATGTAAGAAACGATGAAATTATCATTCAAGACGTCTCCGTGGCGCAATGGATAGCGCGTCGGACTTCTAGTAGGCTAGAACGAGGTAATTCGGAGGCTGTGGGTTCGAGTCCCACCGGAGATGTATATATTTTTTGAACTATTCTCTCAAAGCATTTAATTCTATTGAAAGTATTTGAACAAGTTATATTTAAACAGCTTACCACTTTTATAACATTCACAAGACTTTTTATAAAATGAAGTTATATAGTTGACGGTGCGAGGAAGAGAGGAATAACTTGAATAAGTCAACACGTAATAAAAAGACAGCAATTGGAAATTTCTCTTTAGCTTTGAACATTTTTCATTGTAGTCGACTGTAAATTTTTGATATTTTGATATTTGCAGAAAAAGAAAGCGGATAACTTTCTCCGAAAAACTCTTTGGAAGAGAATATATATAAAACAATTCGAAGAATTATTAATGAGAAAAGTATAGTATAGAATTATGTTTGATGGTAAAATGCCAACCAAAGCGAAAGAAAGCGAAAACCAACTCAATACGAATACTGTTGTAACACCGAATAGCATTGTTACTGTTCTAACATTCCTACCAAAATTTCTACGCTCGTTCGAATTGTTTCCTCCGTCGCTGATTCTATTCTTTCTTAACCTCAAACTTCTTTGAAAGATAACTTTATAAATTTGACCATAGAGTGTATATAACACAACCACTACTCCTACGTAGAGCAAACAAAGAATGTATTTGTGAATTTCGAATATTATCCCACGTATTGGAAAGCAATTATTTATTACTCGACCATCGTATCTGCTTGAAATTCTAATTCCGTAGATTAAGGCATTAAATGTTGCTGCCAAGAAACCAAACGAAGTAATCATGACAAACATAATCTTTATATGTTTCATTTCCAATTTTTTATAGGGTTTACATATGCAAAACCATCTTTCGATAGCAACGAATACAAAGGTAAATGAGGAAAAGACCAAAATATAAGAATAGAAAAACATTGTCGTCTTACAAATGACGAAATTTTTAATAAAACCCATTTCCAGAACAATTCCATATGGAGCGCAAAGTGCACATGATAGAATGTCAACGATAGCCATACTTTTTATAAAAATATCACTAGGCTTAAAGGTTTTTTTGAATGGATAAAAGAATAAGATGAGAAGATTTGAAGGTATACCAACAATCATAATAATTGACATAAAAATGAAAAATGGCGTAAAAAAATTCAACTTTATATCCTCAACGAAAAGTGTTAGGTTGTTCATCGCAGCCAAATGAAAAAATAACATTAAGAAAAAAAAAGAGTAAGAAACAGGTCACGTGATATAATCAAACTGCTTTTCTTGTTAGTATTTTGCATAATAGGCAAATAGGGAAAGAAATAAGTGATAATTCACTTTTGGCTATTAAACTAATAGAATTTAATATGGATAATCGTAATCTTGTGTATGTAAATCGCAGAAAAGAAGAAAAGAGATTTCGCAGTCTTTTGTAAAATCGTACTGTATACTGTACATATGCCGGATTGAGATGAGTATGATTAATACCAAACGCGGATATGATGATTTTTTCATCCTACTCTGCTCCTAAAATAGTACCTATCTTTCCTTATATGATGTTAGATGCTATTACAAACCTTTTACATGGAATTTGATAGTCGACGTAAAAATGATCAAATATCTTAATAGTATCAAGGGTACACTAATATTTGAACTATAATGGTTTAGTTTTTTTATTAAAGACTCGATATTATATACTATTAAACGAATGTATCAAGTTCTAGTGTAATATTTGTGATAAATCAAGATTTTATAGTGCAGATGGCGTAGCTATATTTATTGCCTGAATTGTGGATCTTGATGTTCTTTTCCGATGTTTGCAAAACTTTTGAAAGCTTGAGTTAAAATTTGATCTGAAAGACTTTTGAAATATAATATATACAAAAAAGTTGGTTGCATTATTAATAAAGAAGGAATAGTGTATAAGGAGTTGTTTAGGAACAATATTAAAACTCGTCAACAGAAATGGTATCCAAGTAAGAAAGAAGATTGTTGTAACTCCAAAGAGCATACTTATATTCCTTAGTTGACTTCTAACATTAAATCTATCCTTTAATCTTATATTTCGTTCATTTAAATTTGAGCCAATCTTATTTTTATAAACTGCTCTACGTCTCTTCAATATAAGCCTGAAAATTAGGATATACAAAGTATATATAACAATCATAGCTAGAAAGAATGTTAATAATGCAAATAATCCATAAATCATAGTCCAGAAAGAGTCTCTTCTTAAATGGCAATTGCTTAGAAGTCTACCATCTAACCTCTGAAAAAGTCCAACTTTGAACAAAAAACTTGCTAACGCACCCGATAAGATTGCGCACAGATTGATAGTAAATATCATATATAGGAAATGCTTTTGAGATAGTATCGTATGAGGTCTACAAATTGATAACCATCTTTCTACTGCAATGAAAATAAACGTAAACACTGCAGCAGTTAATAAATAATTATAAAACAATGTAGTAATTTTACAGATAGCGTTATTAGTAACTAGACCAAGTTCCACGATGACTGATAAAGGAATGTCGAAACCACAGGTAAGTAGATCGATGATAGCCAGAATTTTTATAAACAAGGTACCTCCATTTGATGCTTTGAAAGGATATAGTAAGAGTATAAGTACATTGGAAACAACTCCAATCACGCATAATATCGACATCAAAATAAGAAATGGTAGATAAAAATTCAAATTGATAGGTAAATCTTTAACAGTTGTGTTTTCCATGGCAGAATAAACGCTCGAGAGACAAAATATATTCTTATATACACGAAGTCTCAATCTATGAGACAAATGATAATAAAACTTATTAATTATTCCTTTATATTTCAGGGTGTTATGCTTTGCTGTTTACCTTCTATCATTTCCTAATTGGTTGTCTTTTATATACGAGACAAGAATGGTACTGTAAAACTTATCATAATACTACACCACAAGTATAACAAATGTGAATAGGCATTCCCTTATTATTAACGTATTGCGGGTTTTGAAATTATTGCTATGACATCAATTCCAAATCTTTAAGGAGTATGAAATTTCCATCGCTAGATCCTTACTGAGGTTGGAAAATATTAATAGTCAATAGACTTTTACTTTTAATCAAAGTGGAAAAGATTTTTTCTTTATAAATAAGAATAAAGCCATTCGTTATTCTACTCCTACATCTATTTAAACAATCATTAGAGAAATTCGTCTATTTCATCTCTCTCCCTCTAACTTTATCTTCTGCATCTATCATTTGCCTCTTCCTATAGATCTTTCGATCGTTGTTTCTTAATTCAATGAAGATAAACAAAAACATTGAATTAGTTGTTATTCAGGGCAATCGTACTTAGCAGAGAGTTTTGAATAAAAGCAATATTAGATGGTTTCCTTTCTCTCTGGTGCGTGCAACAAAAGGGTGATATTAATACAAAGAGAGTAGTGTATTAAGAATAACTGGAAAACATCTTTGTAATTGTCTATTTCTGTTTTTAGTCCTATACGAAATTCTTTTCCATTTGCGGAATCAATTTCTGTAGAAAGCATATTTCGAATGCAACGGCTCTGTGGCTTAGTTGGTTAAAGCGCCTGTCTAGTAAACAGGAGATCGAGGGTTCGAATCCCTCCAGAGCCTTTTGATCTACAAAAGGTCTTTTCTTTTTTCGCTATATGCAACTGTTAAGATGTCTTTTATTTTTATTATATAACAAGATGATTCTGCATGTTGTATGTCTGACGTGTTTGCATGGTAAAAAAAATGATATGGCAGCGGTGGGATTCGAACCCACGCCTCCGAAGAGACTGGTGTATTAACATCACTT